CTAAATTTGTGAGTTCAGAGATGAAACAGTTTATGGAAATTCAACTCAGATGGGGTCACACTCAAACATGCAGAAAAGCATCTTGTTGCTCTCTAAATTATGTCATTTTATGGCTACTAGAAGTCACCTAAAACCTAGTGCATTCTTTCTTTTGTATGACCTTGAGTGGTTGCTGCCAGCATGAAAGGACTGTGCCAAAGGCTTTGTCCCCTGCCTTCTTAACACTCCTCACCACAGCACCTGAACCTCACCTTACAGAGGGCTCGGTAAACCACACCCAGGGAAGAGCATAATGTTGGTAACACTGAAGTCACTCAGCCTTGGCTGGTCTTAAATACCATGTCTTCGCTGCTTAGCTTATGAAAAACAACTAGAAGATATGAATAATAATTGACATTTATAAAGCATTTTATAATTTACAAAATCATTTTCTTTATTTTTTTAACCCGCACGTTGTTATTATACCTATTTTACAGATGAGGAAATGGAGGCTTAACGAGGCTAAATCCAAGTTCACAAAGGTAATCCATCTTCTTCATCCCTCACCCCTGGCCCAGGTACCAGCTCCTTGCCTGACATGGCTCCCCATCCTCTTAACTGTATCCCAGTTCATCTTGCCCCAAGCTACCTCCTGACCTGTGCCTACCCCCCACATATCTCTTTGCATTGGACTTAGGGCACTCCATCGTAATGTAACAACTCACCTATCTGTGCTCTGTACCAGGCCCAACAACTAGCACAGAGCATAGCTCCTGCCAAGCCCTCTCAAGTGGTTCTTCAGTGAAGAAGTGGGAAACCTTGAAAAGAACACAGAGGACAAAGAGCATCTGTGAATAAACCATGGCTTTCCCTAGTCCATTTGCTGACAACTCTCAAGCTATCTGGGGTTTCCAGTCTGCATGCTCACAAATTGATTTGCGAAAACAGAAGGCCTTAGGGCCTGGAGTACACTGCAGGTTATACTATAGGGGAGACTGGTATTTACGAAATGGAAGTTTCATAGGCAGATAATCTCTCCTGGACCTTTGGGCTTAAGGGAAAAAAAAGGGCAGGAAGGAGAACAGAATTTTTACAGCCTTGTATATAAAGATCTTCTTGTAAAATCAAACTTCAAAGGACTAGAGAATATCACTCTTTTCCAAGGAGTCTCATTAATTATCACAGCATCTCTGCAAGGCAAGCACATTGGATGGCATATTTCTTAAATGAAGAAACTGAGTGTGAAAGGTTTGATTATCAGCAAACTAGGAAAGTATAACATGGTACTTCCAGGCTCCTCTTCTAATAATGCCAGCAACCTCCACCAGGCCATTTAGACACTTGTTAAAGACACATTTATGGAGATCCTGCTTTTTTTTGCCAGGCACTGTGCAGGAAATATGGTCCCTGGTTTGTAGGGTTCCACATGTCACTTGGTCACCAGGGAAGTTTGTGGAGTCTAAACAGGCAAACAAATATGTGTGACACAAGGTGCTAAGTAGAAGGATAGAAGAATGGAGAAAGGGCAAAGAAGTTGCAGAAAGGAAAGTGAAGATTATGTTTGCCTGGGAAGATTAAAAAAGAGGTTAACTGAAATCGTTGGTTCCATCACAAGGTTTTGAGAGCAGGCATTAGCAAAGTTCTGGATTAACACCTTGAACAAATTTGTTTAATGAGGATAAGCCTTCCCTCCACATTACTGTGCTTTCACGATCTTACAGAATTTGTTATCCGCACCTCACCTCCGTCCGCAGTTGAAATGTACTGTGTAGACAGCTGTCATAATCCGCAACATTTACTCACTACTTACCAAGTACTATGCTAACGTCGTTCCATGAACTATCTCATTTAATTCTCACAAAAAACAAATCTATAAGTAAAAAATATGTGTGTCTCCACTGTACAGATGGAGGTTAAAGGGATTAAGTAACTTGCCCAAGTGTTCACACTGAGAAAAATCAGATTTCAGACCACTGGTATTTTAAGAGAAACAGTCCTTGCTGGAATTTAGGAGGGTAATTAGTTGTTTTGGTTACATGTTTATTGAGTTGCACAAATTGGCATTGATTTTTGGAGCTGAAAATTAATTAATAGCATTTATTTAAATACAGTAAATATTCACCTTTCGTGTAAAATTTTCCTGCTTCTCTCTTTGTAACACCCAAACTGCCTCTCCCCTAAAAAACACTCTTAATAGAAATGTAAATAAAATCACTAATTTTATGTCATATGATGAGCTACATAGCTGAGCTGATGGACACTAGTTCCCCAAGTTCAAAATACCTTTCATCCAAGCATTAATCGTGACTTATAAAGAGGCAGCTTCGGCTCAAAATATCCTTGACTGGGTGTGTTAAACCAAAGCACCTAATTAGAGATGACTTAAAATAATACCTTCCTTTGTCACTTAATATCTTCTAACACGAAAATCCTGAGGTTTTTACCTGTACCACAGAAACCTCACTTCCAAATACATTATAATCACTGTAGGCTTTTAGCCTCCTGAATTCAGGCAATGTGGAATGCCAGGACTCATCTCCACAGTTTCCATAGTGGAACATTTCTGATTACCCCCAATCTTCCAGCAGAGCTAAGTAGAATCCCACAACAAATAACCATTTAGAGGAAAAGTGTCTCGCCAATGAATTAATTATTCAGAGAGTCAGTGTACGTGGCATTTAAATGCTCAGTTTTTAGCCTCACATTGCCTGGGTTTGAATCCCATTGCCTCTACTAAGTATGTGACATTGGGCTAGTTCTTTAAACTCACCAAATCGACGTTGCCTCATTAGTAAAATATAGATGATAACTGGTGGAGACTGAAAGTTGCCTGGAGACCTAACGGGTTTAGTTAAAGTTTCAAAGAAGACTGAATGTCTATAATTAAATGACAAGTGCCAGCACTGAAATCCTTTCTATCACTGTAGTATAATAATGGTTGAGTACATGCCTGTTCTACCAGACTGTATTTCCTTCTCTCTCTTATAGCCAGGTGCAGTGATGACTGAATTATCTCCAAGGGAATAGGAATGGGAATGAGATCAGGACACAGGGATCCTGGAGGTGCACTCCTCATGCTCTCATTTCCCTTTCTCCTGTCTATAGATGGTAACAACTGCAGCAGTTATGGAAGCCACATGTCAAGGAACCACACCAGCATCCTGGCTCCCTGGATGGAACAGAGGCATATATTTACTAAACTTAGGAGAAAAATAGACTTCTATCTTGTTTGAGTCATTACATTTTGGCATATTTATATAATAATAGTACCTAATCATAAAATGCTTATAAGGATAGAGAAAGCTAATGCATAAGCTCTTAGAACATTGTCTGGATTTTAATATAACTAAGCATCAGCTATCCATGTAAGAGACAGTTGTAGGGGGTAACAGGGGAGTTTTGCACCAAGAATCTGTGTTCAAATTCTGGCTGTGTTTCCTAAAATAACTGTTTAAACTGAGAGATGTTTTGCAATAGGGAAAGAAAAAAATCAAAAAGTTTTTCCTTCTTATTCAGGATCTGGCTGAGAAAACCCGGGGGCAAAGCTGGGGATTCTTTGCATTATCACCCTGATGTTAGTTCGTGTCTACAGTGAAATCACGCTACTTCAGAGTTCCAAGTGCTATGACTCAGAAGCCCTCAGCTGACCCAGAAAACCTTCAGCCAGATTATAGAAGACCCAAGGTCAAATAGATAAGAATCTAAAAGCCAAGCAGAAGTCTCTAATTAATGCCAGCAATCTGCCCTTTATAGCTCCAGTTTGGTCACTAGTTGACGGTTAAATTAACTGTAGTTCATTTCCTGGTACAGTCAACTTACAATTAGACATAATAATGAAGGGAAGTAATGGCACTCATGATCTAAAATAGCAAGTAATACAAAAATAATTTTATTTGGCTTTGGAATTGTGTGCGTGTAGCATGTACATGTATATTTACTCTTTATTGTATAACCAGGGACGTGCCCCCTCCCAAAAGAACTGAAAACAATTGGTTATACCACTTTTCTGTTGTTAATTTTCTATTCCTGTGATAAACTTCACACAGGACTAAAATAAAATTAATTGCTTTTTTACTAATTATGTGAAATCATTTCTGGACTGATATTTTATTAAAAGACATTCACATCTTTTAAATCTTAACTTGACTCATCAGGTTTCTTGAAAATATGAACTGTATTTCCTCCAGCACAGTCACAAGCTCTGTTCTGGTTGAGGCTGAAAGACCATGTCCAGGATGCTATGGTCCAGCTACGTCTCTCTGCCGATTCCCTTCTGTGCATGTGCCCTGTTATAAAAGGAGGGTCAATGTAGAGACCTGAAATTCTTTAATGAACCATTTTCAGTCTGGTTGTTTTATTTCTAAGGAGCTTCACTTTTAGTGGGGCTCTTCAGGAAGAAGGCTATTTAAGGACTACAGGAGACAATTTGCTTCCTAACCTTTTGACCCAAGTTGAGGGTCTGGTTTTCTCCAGGCACATTCTATTATCAACAGCAGGATATACAAGACCACAGAAGAGTACAGAGGGGATAATTAACACTGGGAGGAAAAAAGTAACCTGCACTCCATAGCTACTGATAAGAAAGCAGCAACATTACCTCCTAAATCAGTGCCTGGAATCTCAAAGAAAGTTGGGTGAGTAAACATCATTTAATATATTTCTGACCCTTTAAATGCTTCCCTTAAACTCTCAAATTCTGTTGGTGTTAAAAGCGATTTGGTAACATCTAATAACGGTGAAGATACATGTCCCTAAGGACCAGCAATTCTACCCATTTTTATTTATAATGTAGACAAGCACTTGCCTATACACAGAAGAACACATGCAGGTATGTGTTTATTGGGGTATTATTTAAGTAGAGATAGTCTAAATGTCTACCAATGAGAGAATGGAAAAACTAATTCATGAAATGGACATTTCAACTGCAGTACAAATCTATATCTATTTGTTTATAAAAATAAATAAATATGACTAAATATAAAAACATAATATTAAGAGAAAAAGCCAGTGGTGGATTTATATGTTAAGTATAATACCACTTAAATAAAGACCAAATTATGAAATTAGCTGGATGTGCACTGCCTCCCATATTCCTCAAGACAGGGAGAAAATGCAATGATTATTCCCATTTTATAGATGAAGAAACTGAGTTATTGAGAGTGATCTGGCCAAGGTTTCCTGGTGAGTGGAGAAGCCAAGAGTCAAACTATGCCCTCTTAGACTCTAGCCACCCCTTTATACTCCCTCCTCATGCTTGGTGTCCACTGTCTTTACAAGTAGTTATTGTCCAGAATTGTCAGATTCAAAAGGTCATTCAAGTTCCCAGTAGGGGAGGTATCGGAGTTACTGTGTAGTAACCCTCTGACACTGGTGGTAGTTCCACAAGGAATCTCACTGCTTCACACCTGCCTGGTGCAGCTGCCACTGTGTGCTCATGACAGCACCCCCATGAACTTGAAAGTTGTCCTCCCGTAAGACCTTGATGCGTGAGTCAGATGGACCGAGGCCTCTTGTCATGATAGCATGGGAGGCAGCTACATTCATTCACAGTTTAGATCTATTCAGCAGCAGGCCTGAAACAGAGATGTCGCAAATCCCATCAAAATCTCCTCCATTATGTGACACACTTTGTTAGAACAGAATAAGGGGTTCGGCTCTGTTGGACCAAATCAAGTTGGTCTATGTGGAGTATCGCATTTTAGATTCAAATCCCTGTTAAACCCTCTGCTTAGGCTCGTGGTTAACAATATTTTTATATCTGTCTGCAGAGATGACAGGCAGCCCAGCTCTCGAGCAGGCCTAGAGGCCTCTGCACGGCTGCTTTTAGAGGCAGGCTCCATAGATGAAAGGCAGAAATCCCACCACCCCAGTGTCTCCTGATTAGCCTGGAGAAAAGCTGAATGACAAACATGTTTCCAATCTGCCTGGCCCATGCAGGGAAATGGGGCAATCTGGCCTGAAAAGGGATTTAGACTTTTGTTATGTGCAAGGGAGGTGGGATGGAGAAAAAAAGCTGATTTAAATCCATCCACAATGCTTTCCCACTTGGTGAACTCTTCGATAAGAAACAGGCTGGCTGTGGTTCAGACCCCCCCCACGCCCGTGCGTCTTCCTTCTGCCTGCCTTGCCAGTAGGTAATCTTGGCCCTGTCAGACAAAGTCAAATGCTATGGAGATGACTGCAACTGGTCATTTCAGAGCACTCACCCTTTTGGCCAGAATTCTATGTGTTTGTTGATGAATAAAATTGGCCTAGACTTTTTTGCTTAAAGCAAAATTCTCTATAGAATTTCTAGGCTAAAATAAGCATCGGTAATAGGGTATACATTTCCTAGGTAGCTATTTAGTTGTTGTGCTAATTACATTGCAATACACTAGTTTCACAGTAGTATAAAATACTACATTAAATGACTGCAAGGCTCATGTGGCAAATACTGAGTTAAAGACACTGCATTAAAACAGGGTATTTTCATTTCTCTCTTCCCAATAGAGAGAAGAGCCTCACAGATACTGAAATTATACACAGTTGATACAGAGCTTTTATTAACTGTGTAAGTTAATAAATCATTTTCCACATTTTATTACATAATTGTATACTCAGGTGGGCAGGGTTTCCGTGTTAAATATGTTTTTTAATCCACAAGCCACATAGATAGAAACACCGTACTCTGATGACATTTATTCTGGCTTCAAACAAATCATCCTTTTCCTCTCTCAATGTATACACTTGTGTATCAGGCTGATGGAATAAATGGTAGAGTTGAGGGGAGTCTGTCCCCTCCAATAGTCCCTTTCTTAGGATGTGGATATGTAAAAAGCACCTGTAAGATGGCTGCCTGCCACATGGCGGTGGCTGTCTGGGTATAGCTAAGTTGCCTTGCTCTGCCGACATCAATACAGGGCTTCTTCAAACGCAATTATCAAGACAGTCCTCCACGACCTCTTATTGCTGCCCTATTTGGGAAACAGCATTCAGATGCAGATTGACTTAAATCCTATCAATCCATTCAACCATGTGTGTGAGTGTGTTTGTATGTGTGTGTGCACATGCACGTTTGTGAACACACATCACACATGTATTTGCACTTCTATAAGTTTTCCCTAGGGCATTTAAACCCCCAACCTAAAATGTCCAAATGAGGAGAAATGCTTATTTTCCCAGGCAACTTTGTCAATTGCTCCTGTGCTCTTCTTATAAATATTTCATAGCAAATATTTAACATGATTCTTTCCCCAATCGGATCAGCTTTGAAATGCTACTCAAAGTGAATTCTCCCCTAACGATAGCTTGATGCAAAAGCACTTTTTTTCTCTCTTAAGCACAAGGTCTGCTGCCATAGCAGCATGAATAGTTCTTATTTAATGGAAAAGAAAAGATACTTTCCATTAATTCAGTAGTCAGTGCAGGTGCGGGTGGTGACAGGCACAGCACATGCGTAACTTGGGTTTCCAATATGGAGGCACAGCCTACCTTGACCTCCCCTCCTCCAGCACGCCTGTGATTATTACCCAGCCAACATTAGAACTGTAATAGGAAGTGACAAGTTTATGTAAATGATCCGCATACGGATTTTGCCCTTGTAAAACAGAGCAGTTACTCTGGGTTTTCTAATTATTTCATGCCTCGTGGTTCTCTGATGGGGCAGAGATGACTATACTTGAAAAGTACCCTGTGATTGACAGACTTCTGTCCCCCTGGAGCTCATTAGGGCTTAGGCTTTGGAAGATGGGAAATAACCCCACCAGGCACCAAAAAAGAAAAAAAGAATTCTCCCCAGCACCAGTGATTCTGTAAGATTCATTTGTTCAGATTTATGTTTTGTTGGGGAAATAGTGTTATCAGAGAAGTGCACTATTGCTTTCCTGATCCAACCAAACTCGCTGCTTTGGTGCTTTTGATTTTTAAAACCTGCGTTTAGAGCCACACCAGCTGTATGATGTAGAACTTGAAGGGTATGAAATGCCAGTGGAATTTTTCACAATGAACTATTCTCAAGAAGGAAGTGAGGAAGAAGGGAGGTGAGAGAGGCAATATGCCATATAGAGCAAGCTGCAGAATCTAACTGGACTTGAACCACTGTTATCATTTTGTAGACACAGCGTGACCTGTTCCTATGTCAAATCCACAGAGACATCAGTGAAGAGAGCAAATAAAATGGAATCATTGATTAGGAAAGTCTGACTATCCTCTCACTTGAAATATACCCTGATGAGAAGGAGAAGAAAGAGCTGGGATAGCGGAAGACTATGAAAAAAAATATCTATAAGCTGGAGAGACTTCAAGGTTTATTTCTTTTAGTCTTCTGATTTTATGAGTTAGAAAATTAAGAGGCAGAGTAGTCACATAGCTGGCTAGCAGTATAGCCAGTATGGACTGCAGCTTCCTACCCAGTACCCATTTCTCTGGCACAGAACAAGGGAGGGGATAGGATCTGGGGAGGAATGGGAAATGAGGTCTTCTATGGGTAAGGTTACAAAATAAGGAAGCCGAAATTATTAGTCTCATTGTAGTACGGTCAGATTTTTATCCACTGCACTGAAATACATAAACATTGGAGCATTCTTTATGCTTCTATAACTGAATAGTAAGAAAAAAATACTAAAACTTCAGTGTCTATCAGTATTAAAACTTTCATTCGGGTTGGTTTATTTTCATTCAATTTCGATGGCCATTTGTCTAGTATTAAAAGTTCCCCAATCCCCATGACTACTTCCCCAAGAAGGCATCTAGTATGTTATCTGCCTGTGTTGTGATTAGAGGGACTGAATGGTTCAAGTTCAAATGCTTGGGCTGCTGTCTGGTCCTCTGACGCCTCTTCAGTGTGTTCACTGCCAAGTAAATGCACATGCAGATAGCCAGCTTACCTTCCCCTCATCGACACAAATGCAAGAAAAGGTCCCTCAAACCTAAGAAATCATCATAGGACCTAAGAGAGAGAGAGAGGGTGAGAATATTTATTCAAAATGCAATTGTGTTAAAACATGTTGCTGACATACTTTCTTTATATTTTGCAAATTTCAGTACCACCACATGCCCTTATAGTGTCCTTCCCTACCTCTATTATTGACAATGAAGTGATCATAAGGAAGTCTGAGTAAGTCATAAAAAAATTATTACCATTAAATGCACATCTGAGCCAAATCATATAAATCCCCACCCCCCCCGCCCCTGCTATATAAAAACAACACAGACTCAGAAAAGAAGGCACAGACCATGAAGGAGTGCATGTAAACCTAACCAGGCATGAGAAGATGGAAGTGTGGAAAGGAAAAGAAGGCCACCCTGTAACAGAGGCATGCCACAGAACTTCCAAGTTAAAAAATACAGAAAAGGAGGAAAGCTGCTTAATCCATTTCAGGAGACTAATAAAATACTGATTTCTAAAACCAACATGAACAGCACAGGAAAAAAAATTGCAGGTCTATTTAATTTATGAATATAGGTGGTAATATCTTATAACATGTGATAAGTAAATACAATAATGTATTTAAAAACAAGACAAGTGTGGTTCTTCCAAAAAATGCAACAATGGTTTAATATCAGAAACCCCAATGTTAAAAGAGAAAAGAAAGAAAAAACATCTATGAATGCAAAAGTGTTTCATGAAATTTATATTTCCTGTGTATAACAACAGAATAGAAGATAATGTCTTTCATTTGCTACGGATGCTAAACCAAAAAACCAAGGTCAACATTATAGCTGGTGGAGAAACCCTGGGCTCTATTCTTTTAACATCTGGAACAAAACAAATTCCCCTTTGTCTCTGCGACTCTACAACCTGTCATGGGATGTTCTTGCCAACAAGAATTAAAAAATAGAAAACAAGAAGGGTCCAAGATTACAGGATGTGGTGGCTTGAAATATATTCACAGAGTCTTTGAAAGTCCCTTGAAAAAGTGGAGACTAATTTTTCTCCCCTTAGTTTGGACTGAATTTAATGTATTGCTTCTAACAAGTAGAATAAGGTGAAGTAATGCTTTGTCATTTCTAACACTAGGTCAGAATCCAGGATTCTTAATCTCAGAGACTGTATGTATGATCATAAATGTCTATCGTTTTAAGCTTCCAAGTTTTGAAATAATTTGTTTGCAGCGATTAATAACTGGTTTACACCAGCACTGGAATAAAAGATGTTAAATTCATTTAACATCATTCAAAATATGTTCATTGCTGACAATATGATCATCTCCATAGAAAATCCAACAGAGCCAACAGACTATTCAAAGTAGTGAGAGTTTGGCAAATTTGTCTTATGGCAAGATCAACTTACAAAAGTCAATAGCGTTCCTCCGTCCAAGCAATAACCAAGTGGAAAATTAAGTACCATTCACAGTAAGAAGAGAACTGTAATGCATCTGAGAGTCAACTTTATAATAAACGTACATTTAGGGAAAAACATTAAAATTCTACTAAGAGACATAGAAGACTGAATAAATGAAAACATATACCACAGTTATGGTTGCTGACTTGATATTTAAAAATATTTTAATTCTTTCTCAATTGATGTATAATATCTACACAAAGACAATAAAAATTCCAGCCGGGTTTTACACCTGCATGGATGGCTTATTATTGCCTATCACTGCATTCTACACTGAATACTTTTAAATATGTTCAAATATTAATCTATGCCTCTATCATTAGAGTTCCTCAGGTTGCCTTCAGCTGGGTCGATATCAAGGGCCTGTCTCACCTCACTGTCCACATTTCTTTTCCAAGCCTCCATCCTATGTGGTTGGGCTCACTTTGTTATTTACTGAGCTACAAGATTCTGTTGTGAGTTGAGTGATGATAAGAAAGGGCAAACGAGGAGGGAAGGGAAAGGAGGAGGAGTGAGAAAAGCAGGAAGAAGACAGGCACTACAAAAATAGTAGTAACAAATTTGGATGCTGTGAAGATTGGACCCCTTTCAAGACAGTTTTATTATGAAGTCAAGAGAGCATAAGATGGGAGGGAACCTGGTTACCAATTTATTTGAATAAACCCATGGGGCATATTTATTTTCATTAATTAAAACTATTAAAAGTGAGGACTTTTACGAAAAGTTTAGAAAATATATCAGAAGAAAGATGTCAGAACTGTGTGGCTATTTTAGCTAACAGATTAATGCAACAACATTTTTATTGTCTTCATGAATACAATAGTAGTTTTAAAAATTATAGACTAGTTTAGATTGGCAGTGAGGAGATAATTATAAATAGGGCTTTATCAAAAAAGAACACAGGATTACCTAAGCAGCAATTCTTTTCATTTATTAGCCAGGGAAGGTTATAGTTGAGAAGGAATGCAGCTACAGGACATCCTGTAGCTAGGTTTTAATAAATCATCTGAAGCAATGAGTAGTCAAGTGATTAAGCTATGAAAGATTTTTCCTCTGTTTTTTATTTTAGATTCAGGGGTACATGTCCAGGTTGTTACAAGATTATAGTGTGATGATGAGGTGTAGGGTCTAGTTGAACCCATCACCCAGGTACTGAGCACAGTATCTCAGTAGTTTTTCAGTCCTTGTCCCCCCGCTCCCTCCTGATTCTAATAGTCTTCGATGTCTGTTGTTCCCATCTTTCTGACCATGTGTATCCAATGTTTAGCTCTCATTTACAAATGAAAACATATGGTGTTCGGTTTTCTGTTTCCACATTAGTTCACTAGGATATTAGCCTCCAGTTGCATCCATATTGCTGCAAAGGACATGATTTCATTCTTTTTATGGCTGCAGAGTATTCCATGTTGTATATGTACCACATTTTCTGTATCGAATCCACTGTTAGTGAGCACCTAGCTTGATTCCATTACTATGAATAGTGCTGTGATGAACATACAGGTGCGTGTGTCTTTTTGGTAGAATTATTTATTTTCCTTTGAGTATATATTCAGTCATGAGATTGCTGAGTCAACTGGTAGTTCTGTTTTTAGTTCTTGAGAAACCAAATGGTTTTCCACAGTGGCTGAACGACTTTATATTCCCCAACTATAAAGGATTTGACTCAATGCAGAGTCAAACATTGGCCCCTCCACTACTTAGAATCAGCACTCCCGACATATTCACGCACCACACCTCCTGCCTTATTTCTTTTCGTGCTTTGAAACTCAACTCTGATGTCAACAGTTCTGGAATGCTTTCCTTCATACTTCTTCCTTCCACCTCAATTTCTACTAATTGCCCCTTCTCAATTTACCCTGTATTGGCCCTTTCATAGACATGTTACAGAAGTGAAATTTGTTTATTCTTCTGCTTCCCCACTAGACTATGAGCTCTTTAAGAGCAGGAACTGTGCCTTTAATTTCTGTCTTCCAAAGACTCAATCCAGTTCCTTGAAGATTGCAGGCTTTTAATAATATTCACTCGATGAATGAATAAATGAATGCTATTTCTCTTTATAGAAGACAATTATATGTAATCTCTACAAAGATGAAAAGAACATGTACGCGTAAGAGAATAGTGTCACTGAGCCAAATGTGAAGGACAAGTATGAAAAGGGAAAAGAAACAAGAGTGTCCAAGGGCACAATGGAAAGTCATCAGAGACTGGAGGAGATGGAAGAGGTGGTAAGCAGGAATGTAAATAAATCACAGGAAATAAAGAAGATAGAGTTCAAGGGCACTATAGGCAAAGAATGGTATTTCCAGAAGCTGAGGATAAACAAGAAAGTACAAGAAGACAGGAGGAACAAAGTGCCTGCTAAGAAGTGAAGACAGGGTAGCAGCTTTCAGAGTACTTAATCTCATGTGAAGTTTCCACAGAGGAAAGATGAATAAGGAAGAAATTGGGGAAACTAACCAATTAATGCCTATACCAAAAAGGTATAGAAAGGGCAGAAATGCCCAAAAGAAGAGTGGCATAACAGTCAACATTTTTTGGGAATTTTCTCAGGCCACTGTGCTACCTTGTGTGTGTTAACACATTTACTCTTCATAAGTAGGTGCTATTTTACAGATGTGGACACAATGACCCAGAGTAATAAAACACATTTAAATTCACAAAGTTAGTACACGGTGGAGATAAGATTCCAGTTCAAATCTTTCAGTCTCTGCAGCTCAGAACCTGAGACAAATAGGCACTGAGGGGAGGGGAAGAAGGAATGGCTTATGGAGGAAGCCTGAGTGTACCAAGTACATCCATGAAACACAGGTAATGCATGCCTCCCAGTAGAATCCCACCATACGAATAGCATGAGAATGTCAGAATTTGACACTCAGTGCTCTAAGGAAGTAACATAAGGGAAAAAAGAGAAGGACAAATGTTTTCCTCGATGTAGTTAGGGTCTGAGAATTTCCTTGTAGGAAGAGACACAAACAAATATGTTGAAACCTAAAGAAAACAGGACGAGCTAGAAGCAAACACCTGCATCTCTACAAGGAGCCCTGGTTTCATAAGAAGGTGAGCAGGTGCTGTACTGGTGAAATAGGGGGAGCCATTTAAGTTTTGGGGGAGAAAATGCAATCAGGAGAAGGAAGAAGGAAGTAGGCAAGAATGTGGCTGGAAGAAAAACATTCCCCTAGTCAAGAGAGCATCCTTAGAGAGATGATACAGAAAAGTAAATGTCTGACTGGGATTTATGAAGTGTTTTGTTGTGGGTTGTGTTAGAATTAGGGTTAGAGACTCCTGTATGATCTTCAGCAAAGGCAATGAAAAGTACAAATTTAACGTTCTGAATATGGCTGTGTTTTTTATATAAAATTCTGAAGGATGCTGGGTCAGAATGGTGGTTTTACATTTGGTCCACGGCCTGTTTGACAAAAGGACAGCTAGATCTGGAGTAGGTACGTAATATATGAATGCTTTTAGAGCAAACCCATGAAGCATCACATATCAAAATCCTGAAAAACTGAGAGTAACACCTTTTGTACCAGCAGTTGTACTACTTGGACCTCATCTTACGGAAGTAGTAGGTGACGATTTTGCCTGCCATTATTTCAATGGAGAAA